CCTATCATGCTGGGGAATCCATTTGAGAGTTGTCCAGCGGAAAGTTTGATGGAGTTGCACTGCACGCGCCTGTGGAAATCAAAAACCAACCAGACCCTTGTGCTCTTACGCAGCAGGCATCCATTTCAGTCTCACTCTCTGACAGCAATCCTAGATCTGCTTGTTCTGGGTACAGCTTCGTTGAAAAAAAAGAAGTTTGTTCTTACAAAATAAAGAAATAGTCTACGTTAGTTACTAGACAAGAAGAATCCTGGGTCACCAACAGCTAATCTGAGGTCAGCATCACAAAAGTAGAAATCCAAAGAGTGCCCAGCTCATGCTGGGGCATTAGGCTGGTTTTCAGGACATGAAATACCGAATGACTTCATTTATGCACTCTCTTGTCTTCTCATTGTTTCTCCTCTTTCTTGAAGCATGTTTTCTTTTCTCCTCTAGCTTATTCCCCTCACATCATTCTTCCTAACTCACTGCTCTCTCTTGTTCACTATCTGCAGCTACAGGCTCTAGCTGATGAGCAGGGATGGGTTTTCTTAGGACTCTGCAGTGACTCCTGTCCCCAGCTGTCTCTCCTTGCTGCAAGCATGGCTCAGCCATTCATAAAGCACCAGCTTGAACACCAGCATCTTGCAGCCAAATATATTAGAACAAGCTGGAACCAATCAAAGTTTTCCTATTACATCAGGATATGGCTTATGGATTTCAAGTAGTTACTTTCTGAGCACTTGGTTTGTCCCACAGTGGTAAGGGGTAGGAGCCAATACAGCAGTTGAGCTTGTGAACCAGCATCCCAAGATAACGCAAACCAGAGTAAGATTTAAATCTAGGCAGATGTTTATAAACCAGTATCATCTGTCTGCAAAACATTAATACAAATAACTGAACTATATTAACCATTTCCATGGTCATTATAAACACTTAAAGCAGTGAAGGCTCCAGACCTAGAGCATGCCACCCCGTCGGACAGACAGCCCTTCTGCTGAGTAATTTACTGTCACACCTCGTAAGTCTTGCGCGGCAGATGGAGAAAGGAAGAGAGGGTCTGTCTGCCTGCACAGGGTATTACTGTTCTGTATACAAGAAGGAAAAGTAAGTGCATTGAGCTGAAAGGATATGTGTAATACACCACCAGTCCTGTCTATTAATCACAACACATTGATTCAACGCTAGCTTGCATGTGCTCCTTCCAGCTGCTCATTGCTGCTCATCCTCACCTGTACCTCACCCAAACTACAGGACTGAGCGGGCTAACTCTCTTCCAGCACTATACAAAGCCTCCAAAGTTATGGGGCAGTGGTGCTCATTATAGACCGTTACGATCAATCCCATTGTTTGTACCTTCTACCTAGAGGGAGAAGGCAGATAACAGGGCAGGTGAAGTCCCAGTAAACACCTGTAACTCACTTATGATTTCTGCTTCAGAGCAATGGCTGCTGAAGGTATTAAGACAGGGAGGATAGAGCGAACTTCAGGTGTGTGTCCCCTGTACGCTGAACGTGGCTGTGGGCTACTAGGAGTTAAATAATTTATTTCCTAAATTTTTGCACTTTCTTACAGAGTCTCTGAGATTTTCATTGCCCACTCTTGCATGCTTTCATTCTCTGATACATATTTCATGCTGATTTTCTACAGAATAACATGTTTGCTGGAGCCAGCCTGATATTATGTCCCCACATGCACCCACTGCTGTGGTCTAGGGGCATTGCACAACCTTCAGTTCATTCCAGTGACAGACAAAAATGCAATTATCCCCATTTTACAGATGGAAAATTTGGCCTGAGGATAACTTGAGGGTTATGCCCCCAGGTTTCACAGACAGAACATACCAAGCTGGAAACATCATCGCTCTTATAACCACTGCAAGGTGACAAATAGTACCATGTTCATTAAACTACATTTTGAGATCAGTATGATCAGAGGAAGAAGGCACCATGCATAACAATCTTTCACCACTGAGAAATAAGATGTTGTGATGAAAAGGACAAAACAACACATCTGTCCACTTGCTGCCCCTGCGAAGTAAAGCAGGTTTCAACAGGATCCTCACCTGCAACATTATCTTTATTCAACAAGAGTCAGAAGGATCTTTGCATTGCTGCAGATCTAAACCATTCCCAGAGTACAGCGTGGTCTTATTATGCTACTCAGTTCAAAGTCATGGAAAATTTAGAGCAGTACGTTTGATGCTGTTCCCACAGATTCTCACCATGAATTTCTCCCTAGAACTTGCAGTACCTTTTTCACACATAGATCCAGCATATCCTGGGAAACAGTCACAGCGAAAGAAATCCCAACCACCGACACACTTGCCATGGGTGCCACAGGAGGCCAACCCACTGCTCTGACACATTTTGTCTGTAAGGACACAGCCAGGAGCGCTGTTCAAGGACTCTGCAGGGTGCTCTAAATCATAGATCTGGAAAAGGACAAAGAGAAGCATCACGTCAGGCGTCTACATTTAACAGCAGTAAACCCAAGACTGGTCTTAGTAGCCCTACCTTACTGTCAACAATGACGTTGCGTATACAGCCAACAAACCCTCTGAAGTGCCTTTGTGAATCGTGGTAAGGCAATGTCTTCTTAACTCCACCCAGCTGCAGGGGCTGATGGCCACTGAAGAGTCTATCCATGCTGAAGGGGAGGGAGGGAAAGAAAGAATTAGTGGCATTCAAAATAGAGCATCTTGGCTGATATCCTCCCCCCGGCTTTTTCCTTAGCTCTTTTGAGTAATCATGTTTCCAGTTCTTCTTGTTGTGGGGTTTTTTACCTTTGAGATCCCACAGTCTCTCCAGAGGCCTCACAGTCAGACAGATCCATTTGGGAGATCTTCTTAATGTAACTGTCATTGTCTCTACCTGAGACATTTACGCAGTGGTCAAGAATCAGCTTCACTTTCTAGAGAAAGGCGTTATTTAAAACAATTGCATCCAGAGATGTGCATACATTTTAATTACACATTTTCTTTCACTTAGCAGAAGGAGGAATAGTAACTAGCAATTACAGTGCAGGAAACTGTATTAAAATAATAAAACACTTCCACATACTAATTTGGAAGGTTATTGCACATGGCACATAACTAAGGAGCCACACAAAAGAAAGATCTGACTCTTCCATGACCACGCCAAGTCACTGACATGGTAGAGGGAAGATAGGATTTTCTTGGAGTTTTTGGCCAAATCAGAACCCAGAGACACAATCTAGCAGAGCAGATAGTCTGCCAGGGTCCCCATCCCAGATCCTGACATGCCCCCCAGCTTGTCTAATGTGGGAGAGGAAGGGGGAACGTAGCACATGCCTTCACCAGTGTTATATCAGCAAGATGTTCCCCTTACACAAAAGTGTATCTGTCTCCTTTGTGCTGCATGTCTAAAGTTACTCGGTGGAGTAGCATTTCCCACTCAGAGAAATTAAGAGTACTTCACTCCATCACCCCAGGAAGCATTTAGCCCCTGGATCATCACAGCTCTGTAGTCTAAGCAATAGATAGGATCGTTAAACAAAGAAAATAGCAGGGCCAGTTTCAGACTTCCCCAGGCTTTGTTCTGCTTCCAGTGAAGCTTCAAGACTAAGGGGGCATCTGAGCTGACAAACTTCAATCCCTGCTGTTGCAGAGATGATGAAAGACTGGTTGATAAAAGAGCTTTACAGAAGCGAGGAAGGATTTGGAAGGAGTAAACAGCGACATGAATTAGTGCATCCACAGGATTGTTCATATTTACACTTGCCTTTCCATCATTTATAATTTTAATATTGTGCCAGCGGCGATCTGCAACATTAACTTTTGGTGATAACTGCAGGAAAAGCTCACCAGAGCTGTGGCTCACTGTCAGCGACGGGACACCGCCAGAGAGCTCTGTAAAGGAAAGACTCTTATTGGATACGCAGCAACCATGTTTGCACTCAAACTCAGTTGAAACAACTGTTGCAGTTAGATTTTAGCTGGCGTTCTTTAGACTACTTAAAAAAAAATCCAGTTTCTAATACAGTGACACAGGATACAAACTGAGCATACTGGCAAATTGTTCTGCATTCTCCTTATTCTTCAATATAACTTTCTGAACCTTCTTTTTAAAAAACCCTGTCAACTGTAAGTAGAATCTCACCTTCACACAAACACAAAGAACAAATACTCTTTAAGTTGCTAACCTAAAGCAAGGAAATCTTCCCGTTCTCCAGGCTGCCCTCGTGCTACTGGTCCGTGGTACAACAGAAGCCCATCAGCAACTTCAGTGATAAACTCCAAGGAGATGCGGCTCTCAAAGCAAGGCTTAAGAGGAGGGAACCAGGCATAACCATTGCCTCTGAAGCTGTGCTTTGTCTGCTGGCAGTCTGGTCCGTGGAAATTTGCAGGACATTTGCATCTATTAAAAAAATAAATAAAAGGAAAAATCCACCATCCAAACAGAAGTTGCGAAGGGCTCTTCCCACAGCAGGACTCTCCACTTTAAACACAGAAGCCCATGCTGCCTAGGCCATAGCGCAGGTTAAGCATTAGCAAAACTCCCGTCAAAAAATGTTCCCTATTGACTTGTTTGCACAAACACAATTTAGCTTTAGCTCTAAATGATAACATGTCTATGCAAGAATATTCTGTGAATAAATGACGGAGCCATTGTAAAATACAAAGCACATGAAAACCTCTAATCTTTTCAGCAAAAAAAAAAAAGAAACCTGCTTTTCACTAGGCTTCCTTATCAGCTTGTTTAAAGACTTTATAACGTTGACACGTTATAGCAAATGACTCACAGAATCACAGAATACCACGTTAGAAGGGACCTCAAGGATCATCTGGTCCAAACTTTCTTGGCAAAAGCACAGTCTAGACAAGATGGCCCAGCACCCTGTTCAGCTGGATCTTAAAAGTGTCCAATGTTAAGGAACCCACCACTTCCCTGGGGAGATTATTCCAATAGCTGATTGTTCTCATTGTGAAAAATTTTCTTTTTGTATCAAATCGGAATCTCCCCAGGAAGGGTGTGGGAAGGTAATATCACCCAGAAAAAGTGAGAAGAGGTGTGACAGTTGTAGATCTTGACATCTTCACTCTTATTGCAAACTACTTGCTGATTTATTTCCTTTACACTATCAAAAATAGATGCTTGGGATTCTTTCCTTAATACTCCGGGGACTCTGTAGAAAAAAGTAATCACAGCATGACAATATCAAAACCTGTAAGGGGCGAAACCAAAGGAGCAACAGACATTGGTGGGAGGACAGGAAGGGAGACCCACTGGGCCCCTATTTCTTAGCTTCTGCTTCCCATAGATTGCTAGTACCTACCAAGAGCAGAATGACAGGGGTAGGATGCAGAAAAAGATCAGTCACAAAACTACTGAAAATGGAGCAGAAGCAAAGAAACCTCAGAGTTGTGCAAATGATAGGTGGTAGAACCTACCAAAGGCTTCTGGGCAGCAAAACTTCACTGGTTGATTACATCTGAGCAGCAATGTCAGGCTCAGATCTTTACCATGACCAGGGCTTCTGCAGCTTTAGTCTGCGTCCTGTCACTCCTATCAAAAGTGCTCAGAAGAGGCTGGCCAGTTGTTTCTGCTTTCCTATTTTGGGTTTGCCATTTTTAAGCAAACATGCTTAAGGCTTCCCTTCTGGAAGGGGACCAGGCTCATTCCGAGCTAGTATAGTCCCATAATTTTTTCTATCTTTATGCTATTTTATCTATGAGAAGTCATTTTTTGAGAAAAAATGAGGCAAGAAATGTGGGAAGAGGTTATTAAGTGACCTAAGTGATGTGATTAAAACGTTTAACAGCATTAAGGTAGGCTGCACAAAATAAGAGCATTTTGCAGGGTGGCATTAATGGAAACGGTGCAGCCTGCAAACTTCCCAAGATCTTCCCAGAGCCTCTGATGAACCTAAGTACCCATCTGAAAACAGAGGTTTGTTTGCAAGACCTCTGCGTGAAGTATAACAAAACTCGGATCTGCCACAGTGAGAAGACACGTAGTGATGCCTCCTCAAGTTTCCAGTCATCCTCCTTACAGACTGACGTAGAATAATTTTGTTTGCACACCAGACAAAGCTTTACCAACCTGTAGCCCAAATCAGTATCCACGCAAGTGCCACCATTGAGACAAGGGTTTGTCTGGTATGAGGAGCAGGAGAGATGAGGGCTCTCCCGAGCCTCACAGCCACACAGGGCACGACTCAGGACTGTCACAGACACCAGTGAAACGCTTCCAGCTGTGGTTATTGTTGGCACATGACTCTGTTCATGCTTGCTGATGCATCCGCTGCTATGAGTGCAGTTTGCAGTCACACATTCATCAATGCCAATCTGGGTGATATTTATATCCAAGATGTTTTCCAGCTGTGGAGAACAATTACTTGCATTCATCTGACTCTTCTACAGAAATGAAACACTCAAATGACAGCAATGAAAACCCCAAGTCCTATTTATTTTCAAAACTGGTTGCTGTGCCACTTCCTTACAACATCTACGTCACCCTATCCAGCCAAAGGCAGTTCAGCCTGGCATATGTTAAAGCCAAATCCTTGGTATAAGTCAATTATAGCATGAGTAAGCACTTGGGGGGACAAAAATATCACCTTATTCATCATAAACCGAGAGGACAAATTTTAATCAATGATGATTCGGATGGATTATTAACATAGCATCTGAGCTGTATTTTTAAATTGGACTTCTGTCTTAAAAATATTGAGAAGGGTGGACAGGCATTAGGCAATGAAGAAATACCTTTTCTGGCAAGAGTGAGTTGGTACTGCAGCACTGATTCTAAACATAACTCTTACTACAGCCTCTGTGTACCAACAGACTGGTTGGTACACAGACACACTTCCAACAGAGCAAGTCATTTAACTCTTATTAATACTTTTTTTCAAAGAGGGGCAGGAACTTTAGTAAACTGTCAACATTTCCAACCTAGTTTTCCGCTGGAGAGTGGTTATTTTACTGCTTTACACTCTTATCTCAGAAAGATGGAAATTTTGGCTTGTTTGTGAGTTTCAGCTACAGAACATTTCTGTGTAGAGCATTAAAAATTGAAATATTAAGGCACTATGTAGAAAGGCAACAGCCAAACACATCCCTTATACAGAGTTTTACAGTATTTTCAACAGAAAAAACATGTTCACATTCCTAAAAGCTCATTGTGTTTGGGCAACTTAATATGTATTTATAGGTTGGCTTTTAAAACATTCATGTTTGAAACTTTTAAGTGATAAAAGACTGTTTGACTTTATGACTTAAAACCATCCATTTTTCTCACACATTACTCCCTCAGTCATTCTAAGTATGTGCATTCACTAGGCAACAGATATTATCTGAACAGACATAATGAGAAGATGCTGTGGTTTCATAGGTAGTACGGATACTTACTCTTGCTCTGGAGGCTGCTACATTGCCGTTAAGTTTTTCTGCTTTATAATAAGGTGGACCGTAAACTGCAAACCAAACATCAACCCCTCGGGTTTGACTTGAGCTATTTAATACACTAAAAATGTGAACATTTTCTGGCTGGACTGATTCGATTTCTGAAAGCAGCTTCTTCATCTGGTAGTATTTGCTCTGTTTTTCAGGGGACTGATATATGAACTCCTCTGGAGTGATACCTGTAACAGAAGTTAAAACCTGACAAACAGATACCTTGCAACTGTTGTAGCAATAAAAGAGAGAGGCACCACAGAATAAATACTAAGGTTGCAGAAAATGGACTCTACTGCAAATTCAGGAGTATTTTCATTTTTAGGCTCTGAAATTTTCCATGCTGGCTGCTGCTCAGGGTTTGTGTTCTGAAGCTTTTTGACTCTTATTGATTTTTTAAAATTATTCTTTTAAATCAGAAACATGTTTAAGAAGGTTTTACTTTTCCACAAAGATCGAAACAATTTAGTGAATTTCATGCAGACACTTGTTCAATTAAAGATTTTTTCTGAAATTGCTGTTTTGTTAAAAAGTTGGTGTAGAAATCTTTCATCTTTGTCTTCTGCATCAGACAATCATTTCTTGCTTTTTTCTCCATAGATGCTCCTTCACATGCAGTGTCAGAAGACCATGCAAAGATACATTTTTAAACCCTTATCTATAAAAATATTAACACTCATCTCATGTCTAAGAGCATTAGACTTCGAAGTAACACAGCAGTAACATTAGAGATGTACTTCATCACATTGCTTACCTTTTATTTGTATAGAACCAGCATTATGGAGGGCATCATCTTTGATTTCCTTCACTATAACCTTTACAGTTGAGACAACATCTGGCCAGACTCCATCAATGACTCTAACTCTTATGTTGTATGTTCCTGGTGGGGTTCCTTCTTTAATAGTCAGCAAACCTGAGTTATCATTAAGGATAAAGTACCTGTAATAAGAGTTAAGCCAAGGAACAAGCTATGAGAAGTTCAAAAGCTAAAGCTATCAAAGAAAGCAGATGTGTTCCCTCATGAAGGGACAGAGAAGAATAAAACATTTTTACATTGCCTTCTCTTGGCTCCTAATGACTCTTCACCAGTATATCAAGAAAGTTTCCTCCTGCTTCTATGCCATATTAACTGTGTAGGAAAACTCAAGCTACTAGAGCCATAAATTTGGAAAAAGTTCAAACTCCTAGTTTAGATACTGCCCTCACTTGTCTGGGATAGAATCACAGCCCAGCCATGCTAGGCAGGCTGTTAGCAGTTTTAAGTCAGCCAGGGCAGCTGACTTAAATAACGGCATACTATAATGTCATGCTCATTATAAAGGGGGAAGGTTTACTGAGGAAAAGGAGCTCCTGTGGGGTTCCTGCTGGGGTTCCTCCTGCTCCTCCTCTGGCTTCTCCCTGCTCCTGAGGACTGCTCTCCTGTTGATTGTGACAGCTGCATATTCATTTGGCTGAGTATAACTTTGTATGCTTTTGTTTCACTAAATCTGTTTTCACTTCAGCCCACAGGTCAGCTCTCCTTTTCCCTGATTCCCCTTTCCTGGCTGGTGAGGGGTCATTGGGTGATACAGCAACTGCTGTAGTTTAGCCCCGGGTATGGGCTAAACATAGACAGATACATCCATTGAGAGTGACAACTCTGTCAAAACCTCTGAATGGCACATGTGCATCTCAAACCCTAGTCACAATCCAGACACTTTGGTGTGAATACATCCAGTACAAATAAGGCCTTAAAACCAGTGGTAACACAGAAACACCAACTCTCCAGGAGCTTGGATGAAGGAGAATGGAAGTTAGTGGGTATTTTTTCAGAGTGGCCCACTGATACTGATTATAGGTATGACTGTGAACAGGAATTTAGAATGGTGTTCCAGCCCATCAGGCAATGGGAAGCGGACCGGTTTGGCATGCAGTGTTATTTACTGCAGCCTCACACTCAGAAGGGCTTTTGGAGAGCTACACACAAGCATCAAACCAACAAAATGCTTTTGCACACTTGTTTTCAAAAAAAGGCAGTTTAAATACTTCTTATGGTTTTGTGCGTAGGCAGTTTTCCATACTTTTCACCCAACTCCCATTTTTCTCTCCAAATACCTTGATGCTTTCCCTTCAAATTGGTAGATTTTGTGATCCCAGTCGTCATCATCAGGGGCACAGACCTGGCCCAGACCAGTCATGGGGAGGATACCTAAAACAACATAGCATATAAGTGGCACAGTCAGACCTCTGACATGTACACAAACAGGTTGGCCATTCAAGTTTTACTGGTTTGTCTTACGTCTAGAACCTCTACAAAAATAGTTACGATAGTTCCCAAGAGATGTGCACCAGTTTGCAAATACCACATGGTGTTCTGCTTATCAGGTGTTTGATGTATGGCTGCATAGATTTAATTCGACAGATGGCTGCAATGAAAAGCAACAGGAAAGAAAAAGACAAGCCACCTCTGAGGAAAGACGTAAGAGGTATTCAGAATTACTAATTTTTGCTATTTTGGCTGCGGTATCCAACCAGCTTATAGAGTGGTTTAGACAGGGATTGAGGTTTGGCAGGACAAACAACCAAAATGCTGACTGGGTTATAAAGGGAAAAAAACAATGGCAATTTGGAGGAAATTGCAGTGAGATAGAGACGATGTCCAAAATAAAGTAACCAGGTTTCTTTTGAGTAGACGATGAGACAGAAAGCAGCATGTATTCTGCTGGTTTTACATCCTCTCAGCAAAGCTCATAAATTAGTATTTTTTGGTTTTTTGTTTTTTTTTCTGAAGGAAAGGTCCACAAGTATCTGAATTCATAGATCTACTGAGTAAAGAATCAATGATACATACAGAAGAGGAAAAAATGTGGGACTTCACCTTGTGAAAGGGAACAGCACAAAACCTGAGGGACCGCATGCAAAAAAGAGAGGAAACTGTACCTCTCCTGCAACTGTGGCAATATTTATTGGATACTTTGCAGGAGACAGTATATAGGATGCCCTGGTGTTTGACTCACACATTATATGAATGTAACATACAACATGATAGTAGCCTTCTGATTTTGTCTCTCCTTCATATTTTAAATAAACAAAGATCTGAAGACTTCAATAGTCCCTCCCAGAAACTAACAGTACAGACGAGTTTAACCTTTAAAGAGGCAACTAAAAGGGAATTCAGGCTTAATGAAAGATCTGGTACCTAGGCTACAAGCAGTTTCTCAGCAAATAGCAACCAGCCTTGGTTTCAACTTTGCAATAAGCTGAACTTGAGAGTGAGCAAATAACAGGCAGAACAATGTTTCACTACAAATAAATGTCAACAGTATCTACACACAAGTAGTTTCTAGTGTGCCCACAACAGACAATCTATTTAATGTGCTATTGAACCACAGGATACACAGCAGAGTAGAAGAGGAAGGAATGACTTGAGCCCACATGGATGCCAGCATCCCAAAATCTTTTTGTGGTTTATTTTGCTGTTGGGCTTATTATGTGGGGAAACTGGATCACAAGAGGACTCCTAGCTAATTGCCAAAGCAAGAAGGGAAAGGTGGCTTCTCTTGCACTGCCTGCAGCCAACATTCACAGAAAAATTCTCCATAACAGCATTTGTCAGCTGAAGGCTTATATGAATGTCTCAGGCAGTTTAAACATGAGTTCAGCTTAACCGTATTCACTAAAACTGAATTCAGTCTGGAGAATGAAAAAGGTTTAAGGAGGAGGAAGGCGGCTGTCAGCATTCAGACTTATCACTTCTCAGCAACATTATGAATTTTGTTATTTTTTTTTCCTCCTGAAATGTTAATGCTGCTGGAAAACTGCATCATCTGAAAATAAGAAATCATTACTCAAGTTTGATAGAAACATGCATAGAATAGCAGCCAGCTATGCTCTTCCTTGAAGGCTGGATCAGTTTCTTACACAAACCAAGTGGCACAGGGTCCTATGCCCCACACACCTACTGCTCTCTGGTGGGGCTTAAGCAAACTTCAGTAGCACCTCTACTAAGATCTTAGCTTATGTGGAAGAGGACAGAGCCCTCGTGTGAATCTCACAGCTGCTCCTTTGACCTTACTGTCACACTTGGAAGCGAGCATCAGGGAGTGACTTACCGTCATAGCTGTAAATGAGACATTCCATGTAGCCAGCAGAATGTGGGTGGTCATTTTGGTCCCCGATATTCACGGTCAGCGTGTTGGTGGAGCTCATTGGTGGGATCCCACTGTCCGTGATCAGGATGGGCAGGTAGAACACCTTCTGCACTTCCCTGTCAAAGCTATGCAGCGCAGTGAGCAAGGCACTTCCATTGTGGAAGTCCTGCAAGTTGAAGTTAGTCAGACTATCGAAATCACTGAGAAGGTGAAAGGAGAAAGGTGGTCCATTAGCAGCAGTGTCTTGGTCCTTAGCATACAGCAATGAGGAGGTCCCATTCATTTGGACAACCTGTGGAGAAGCTGTGTTTTCCCAGACCATCGGGTTATAATGAGCCTCAAACTCTGGCCCATTGTCATTTACGTCCTGCAGGGTCACTAAAACAGTGGCACTACCAGTCAGAGGGGGCTGCCCCATATCAGTGGCAATAACAATAAGTTGGTACTGTGTCACTGTCTCATGATCCAGCAGTCCTGCAACCATCACCCATCCATCACTAGCCACAGAGAACTGGCCACCTGGGTCAGACTTGTTTAGCAGGTGGAAAGAAAACCTTCCATTCAGGCCAGAATCCAAGTCAACAGCATAAACCTGAACAACTTTGGTGCCAACTGGAGCATCTTCCCCCAGTGCAGTCACTTCATAGAACTGGGGGTAGAAGACAGGAGCATGGTCATTGGAGTCCTCCACATAGATCACACAGTGAGCAATGCTGAAGAAATCCATGTCTTCTGCTTTCACAGTCAAATTGAACACCCTCTCATGAGGCTTCTCAAAGTCAATCTGTTTTCGTAGCCGGATAAACCCACAGTTGTTGACTTCATCTGTCTCTATGGAGAACTTGCGGTCATTGTCCCCATCAAGGATGCTGAAGGTCACCATGGCATTTTCTCCCTCATCTCTGTCCACAGCAGACACCACTGCAACCTCAGTGTTAATACTCGCATTCTCAGAGACAAATGCAGTGTAGATCCTTTGCAGGAAGACTGGAGCATGATCGTTTACATCAGTCACCAAAATAGTGGCGGTGCCTGTCCCAGTGAGCCCTCCTCCATCTCTGGCCTCAACCACTACTAGGTACTTGTCTTCCTTCTCCCGATCCAGGGACCCAAGCACTGTATAGATGGTGCCGCTAACTGAGTCAATTGAGAACAAGTTCAGATTAATTTCATTTTGGACATTCTGAATGATGCTGTATGTTAGCACAGCATTCATACCAGCCTTTGGGTCATCGAGGTCCACTGCTGTCATTTCCATGACAGGAGTGTCTGCTGGAGAATCCTCAGGGACGTGGCCCATGAAGCAGCCATCCAACACACAGAGGAAAAGTGGTGCATTGTCATTCACATCCCTCACTTCTATGATCACATCTGCAAAGCCAGTCAGTCCCTCGCCACTCTCATCCGTTGCAAGAACAAGAAAGCGCCACGTTGATCGTTTCTCACGGTCTAACCTTTTATTTGCGCTGATCTCGCCTGTGTTCTCATTGATGCTGAATTCGCTACTGGCCCCCTGTCCGTGCAGGGAATAGTTAATGGCATTTTGGTCAGCTGCTTGGTCGGGGTCTGTGGCAGAAACCTGGAACAAGACACAGCAAGTAAGTGTTTATGTAAAAGAAAAGAGGAAATCACTGTTCTTTTATTGATGGCAGTTGGTATTGCAAGCTAAATAAATAGCATGCATTTTAACGACAAACATCTATTGGTTTGAGTCATTCAGGTCAAGTACTCTTTCAATAAACATCATGCATGGCCTAGAGAAAGAAAAAGATCACATTTAGACAGACTAATATATTTACTTCCTAATATATTTTGGAAAGAGGAAATAACTGTAGGAAGAACCAAGTGGAAGTAATAACAGATCTGTTGAGCAAATGTTTCTTGTGAAACTCTTTGGAGCTGAAATACAAAGGCAAACAGGGAATGTTTCTCTCCAAGTGAAGAGAAGGCTGCAAAACCAGGGTGCCCATACATCCAAGATGATTATCAGCACAGGCCAGAGAGAACTCCCAGTGTCTGATTTGCATCCAGGGATTGTTTGGGAGACTGTTAGTTGGGCCTACCAAGCAGTCCTCATAGCAGGGACTGCTCTAACAACAAAACAATGAAGATGATAGAGTTCCAGAGTCAAAGAAAAATCCTTACTAACATTTATTTGGTAGTATAAATGTAGTCAAAGAGCCCGTGACTTAAATGCATGAGGTACACATGCCAACAACAATATGCTTATACAGTTACTCAAAATATGATAACTGCTTTGTAAAGGAAAGCATTTTTCAACATTTAGAATCACAGAATCATTTCAGTTGGAAAAGACCCTTAAGATCATTTGAGTCCAGCTGTTATTTATGCTGGTCAAAGGAGCAAGTCCACCACACAAAATCAACCATGCTTTCTTTATTCCCTTCTTTACAGCAAGTTGCTAGCTAAATCCTAATACCAGGGCTCACTCACACTAAAGAGACTATATTTTTGGATTTGTATGAATGGATGGGATTGAGCTAAACAAAAATTCATTTTTTGCCCTGATTCGTGCAAACAGCTTTACCTTTAGGACAAGTACAGGCAGATGTGTGAGCTCCTCCAAGACACTGCCCTGGTATTCGTTCTGAGTGAAGACTGGTGCTTCGTCATTCTTATTGACAACATTGATGATGATAAGAGTGTGGTTCTCCCATTTTCCATCAGAAGCTACAAGCCGGAGCTCATAATGTTGTTCTTGTTCATAATCCAGAGGCTGAGTAATGAAGACAGTTCCGACCTCAGGTTCCACATCAAAAACTCCTTTCACATTTCCTGATGTGATCTGATACCTTAGTTTGGCATTTGCACCTATAAGAGAAAGCAAATGACCATTGCCTGTCCACTGAATGCTCAATCCAGCTATACACAGTGGACCTGTATCTAAGGGAAACCTTATTTTCCCAGACTGTTACAGTGCATGTGGGAGATAAAACACAGGCACAGCCACAAACAGAATGGTCCATGTATGTATTTTGAAGGGTTTGTGTATGGTAGATTGGGAGTTAGGTCTGCATTTACATTTACAAATAAAATTTGCAATCACAGACAAGCATCTGTTTATTGATAATGAAGGAACTGCATAGCTCTAATGTATTGTGCATTCATCTGCCAATAATAAAAAACTAACATACTATTAAAATACTGGAAGCTATTGTTTCCTAAGCCTCCCATTTCAAATGACAATATTCCCTAACTTTTTTTTTAACCACTGGATGGTGCTAAAATATAACAGCAGTCCTCTATTTTGAGCAAGAATTCATCTCTGAATATTCCACCTGTACAACAGTAGTTGTTTGATTGCTGCAAAAAGGCTGAATGCCTTCTTCACCTCCGTCTTTACTGGTAAGGCTGGTTCTCGGGAATCCCAGACATTGGAAGTAGGAGAGGAAGTCTGAAGGAAGGAAGACTGCCCCTTGGCCGAGGAGGATTGGGTCAGGGATCTCTTAGCCACACCGGACACTCACAAATCCATGGGCCCCAACAGGATGCACCCGCAAGTGCTGAGGGAGCTGGCAGATGTTACTGTTAAGCCGCTCTCCATCATCTTTGACAGGTTATGGAGGTCAGAAGTGCCTGAGGACTGGAGGAAAGCCAATGTCACTCCAGTCTTCAAGAAGGGCAAGAAGGAGGATCCAGGTAACTACAGACCAGTCAGCCTCACCTCCATCCCTGGAAAGGTAATAAAACAGCTCATCCTGGTTGTTATCTCTAAACAGGTGGAGGAAAAGAGGATTATCAGGAGCAGTTCACCAAGGGGAAATCATGCCTAACCTGATAGCCTTCTATGATGGCACGACTGGCTGGGTAGACGAGGGGAAAGCAGTGGATTCTCTCTACCTCGACTTTAGCAAGGCTTTTGACAC